GGACTTGCAAGAAGCAGCTGATCAATGACTCTCTCATCATTGATGTTTTTTTTTCTCTCTCTCTCTTTTCCTCTCTCTGAAATTAATAAAGATTTTTTTTTTTTTTTAAAGGGATTTTTTTAAAAAGTCATTGCTGCCCTCCAGGCCTCATGTTACATGTACTCCTATACATGGTTTTATTTATATAATGCTCACTTGGTCCCAGCCCAGTAGGGCTAGACCTTCATCAACTTAAATATTAGTTCCTCTTAGCTTCTCACAAGTGATTTGGATTGAAATTACTTCGTAGAACATAAAGCCAACAGTGCAGCCCTCTGCCTTGTGTACTTGGAATCAGAATGATGAACATTACATTCTTGTATCACCTCTTATTAGAAACAAGCTTTAATGTAGCCACTTCTGCGTTTTTGCTTCCCTGGCTTTTCTTAGAAGATATCAGAATAGAGACAAAAAGATATCCGTGGAAATCTCACCTCTGCTTGATAAATGGGTCATTTAAGCTCTCTAACTCTGTCTCTTTTTCTCTTTGCCTCACCACTTTTGGAACAGTGATGGAGTTAGGGGAAGGAGATTCCAAGAAGAGCATCACTGAAAGAATTCCAAATAGAAATTTCTGACAAATTCTGACAGGTGTCTTGAGCCAGTTAATGGGTTTGGAACTCTGTTTCTCTTCTGAGATAAGGAATGGGGCTGGGGATATTTTTTTTTCCTTAAATATGTCCTTATTAATTTCAGAGAGAGGAAGGGAGAGAGATAGAAACATCAATGATGAGAAAGAGTCATTGACTGGCTGCCTCCTGCACGCCCCCGAGTGGGGCTCGAGCCCGCAACCCAGGCATGTGCCCTGACCGGGAATCGAACCCTGATCGCCTGGATCCTAGGTCAATGCTCTACTGCTGACCACGCCTGGCCGGGCAGGGCCGAGGGTATTTTATTCAGAAGAAATTGCCTCTTGTATACATTTTCCTGGCTTTTTGTTAATAGAGAAAAAGAATGAATTAATTAGACTGTACACTTGGTGAGGGTAGGACCATATTACTCTTTCTCCTCCACCCTTGAATTCTCAGTACTTTTGCTCTGATTGTATACACAATAGATATATAGTAAGTATTCGAATGAATGTTGAGTGGAAGTGATTTTACCTTATTTTTAAGGTTTATAAAGTATCTTTTTGAACTTCTTATTAAGAAAATTCCCAAACATATAAAGTACAAAATATATTCTCATGAACCCATAACTCAGATTTAATAACCATCAACATTTTGCCAGATTTCTTTCATCTATCCCCCCCTTGACATACAAAAAGTTGTACATATTTAATATATACAACTTGATAAGTTTGGAGATAAGTAAAGATGTCCATGAAACCATCACCACAATCTATGCCATAAACATACCCATTACCTCCAAAAATTTCCTCCAACCCTGTTCTGGATGATGATGATGATGATGGCAACAACAATGACGATGATGATTAGAACACTTAACATAAGATCTACCCTCTAAGCAAAATTTTTTAAATGGACTTTATTTTTTAGAGCAGTTTTAGGTTCACAGAAGATTTGAGCAGAAGGTATAGCAGATCCTCAAATAATGTCATTTCATTCAACCTTGTTTTCTGTTACAATGCTGATGAGATGCCATAGGAGCATAACTCTTGTTTCTATCAATTAGCCTATGGTAAAATTGGTTCTGTTTTGTGTCGTTTCGCTTGAAGTCGCAGAAGTTATCAATGATGTTAAGTGAGGACTTACTATACAGAGATTTCCCATATACCCTTATCCCCACTCGTGCAGAGCCTCCGCCATTGTCTTCCCCCACCAGAGCTGTACATTTGTTACAATTAATAGACCTGCATTGACACATCATTATCAACTCAAAGTCCATAGTTTACATTAGTGTTTGCTCTTGGTGTTGTACATTCTGTGGGTTTTAATAATGACATGTATCTAACACTTTAGCGTAGACAGATTAGTTTCACTGCCCTAAAAATCCTCTGTGCTCCCCTAACCCCAGGCAACTAATGATCATTACTGACTCTAGGGTTTTGCCTTTTCTAGAATGTCATATAGTTAGAATCATATAGATTGGCTTCTTTCACTTAGTAATATGCATTTAAGATTTCTCCATGTCTTTTCAAGACTTAATAGCTCATTTCCCTTTGGTGCTAAATAATATTCCTTTATCTGGATATACCACAGATTGTCCATTCAGCTCCTGAAGAATATCTTAGTTGCTTCCCATTATTGGAATATTTTAAAGTAAAACTTGTACACCATGTCATTTCACTTCAGATACTTAAAAAAAGGCATTACTACAATGCCATTATCATACTAATAGTAAATCCTTAATATTATCTAAGACCCTGTTTATATTCAAATTTTCTAAAGGCCTTTTAAAATATTATAAATAAGCAATAAATAAAAACTTTTTGATAAATAATATAAGCTTCAGAAAAACTTATTTCTTCAGTTGTTATTGAAACTAAAGAAGAACATTTTGTAGTGTATAATCTGTAGGAATTCAGTAGAGCAACTCCTCTTAGATATTAATAGTTTGCTTTGTATTATAATTGTTTATGGGACTTGGATTTGTGAGTCCAATGCTCCCATTCATATAAACTCACATTCCCCTCTTAGATCTTTAGAACATGACCTGGTAATTGTTATTATCATAAATTGCGCTAATTGTAAACATTTATTGTGAATTTATTTACTGTATGCCAAGCACTGTGCTGTACATACATTATTTTATGTGATTCTTACAACCCAATAGGATAGGGTTATAAGAATACCTCCCTCCAATTATTTTAGTGACTTTTATAGGTTTTATAGTTAATACGTGAACTGGGATTTGAATTTGGGTCTCCTAACCACTGGCCTTGCTGTCTCCCTGAGTATGCTTTAAGATGCTGATGTAAAAAGGGTCAAACGATCTAAAATTGACCTAAAATTCATAATTTCTTTGTTGTCTGTTAACCTCTAGGCTGTGAGACTAGAAAGTACTTACCAGAATCGAACACGCTATATGGTAGTGGTTTCAACCAATGGTAGACAAGACACTGAAGAAAGCATCGTTCTAGGAATGGATTTCTCCTCTAATGACAGGTATGGTACCACAAAGGGGGGATGAGAAGGCCCTTTTTAAACAACCTATTCAGTTGCCTTTTGAATTATCACCAAAACATCTTATGTAGTGCTACTCTTAAATGCCTAAAACTAGAGAACACAAAAATACTTTGTAGTCACACAGTCTTGAGAGATGAAAGTTTAATGAATGTCTTTGGTAATTTGTTTCTAATTTACACTATTCCTTACCTTCCTCTCATCTTTAGGTGGTGGTGATATAAAACAAATGGTTTAAACTTATATCTCCGGGGCGAAGGGGGGGGACGGCCTTTGCATTCAACTTTATTTTAAGCAGTAATGATTCACTTTAGTGATTCCAGGGCACACACCCTTTGTGATAGTGCACCAGTGAGTCCTGGGTTGAAAGAGAGCCCATTTTAACTCCATTCTCTTGTGTTTATCCATGGCCTACACCTTGCTTTTATCAAATGTTTTGCTTCCTTTTTCCTTAAACTCAAAACAGAAACTTTTATAATCATGCACCTTTGGCTTTAGTGGCACTTTGCATCCATGACTAAAGATATTAGACATCACACAAAACCTGGCTTTGTTGTATCCCTAAGGTTTGTTGCTTTTCTTTTTTATTTTCCCACTTTTTCTGGAGAAACCTTGGGAAGACTGTGGAATGTGACTGCTAAGCAGATCTTTGCACTCTAGATAATAAGCCTCAGGAAATCCTGCCAGATGTCTCAAAGCATTTACTTCCTGGCTCAGGACTGGAATGGAACTGGAGTAGCTAGGGGTGTGACCCAGGCCTGGGAGAATTTAGCCACAAAGAGAAGAGGAGACTGGGAGTAATTCTGCTTGCCCTGATGTGTGGGGGTGGGGATCACATTGTCACAAGAAAGTTTCCCAAACTAGTGTTTACCTGAGCGTGTACATAGCAGTCAACCTGAAAATGATTTGTGGGTTCACAAGGATCACAAGGCCAGAGTTGTTACCTTGTATACCACTTACAGTCTTTAATTGTATGCTCTGAAATTACACATGCTTGTAAGCCACATTTAGGAAGCTGTTCCTACTGCATGGTTTTAACCTCTTGTGTTAGCTAAGCAACAGACCTTTCAGTAAACATTTATCCCTAAGAGCATCAACCTTGCCTACATTCATTAGTATTTTAAGACCTATGACTTGGGTTTTTATATCTCTAGGTCTGTACTGTCCAGTACAGCAGCTACTAACCATATGGGACTATTTAAATAAATTAAAATTAAATAAAATTAAAATTTCAGTCCTCAGTTACAACTAGCCACATTTCAAGTATTCTAGCTGTATGTGGACCGTATTGGACAGTACATGTACAGAACATTTCCATCACTGCAGAAAGTTCTACTGGACAGCGCTGCCCTAGATCTTGTTTCCTTTGCTTCATTCGTCCTAATTCCTCCTTTGGAGCCCCCATAGAACTGGGGCTGCATGGAAACTTCACTTGAGTCTTCCCCTAGAGAGAGACAGCAACAAATTCAGATTCTCGTGGCCCAGAGTGTGAGAAATAAGATGTCTAATCTTACCTCTTTTGCTTTATCCTAAACATTCCCAGAAATCATGAAGACTACTTATTAATATGGGTGCCCAGTGATTTATCCTCAGTGAACTGCACCTATCTTCAGTAATAGTCCTTCCTGAATCCAACCAAAAGAAAATTTTAGGTTATGGGAGACAAAATATGATATGAAAAGCCACAGAAATTGCTTTTCATTCTGTTTGGTAAACTTGGTATTATGAACTCCCATATATCCTCTGTTTGAATGAGCTCCTTGGACAGTAAGAGAAGTGCTGCCTACTTGAGAATAATAGTGCTCAGGTAATCTAGTATCGTTTTTATCTCAATTGCTGTTGCAGGAATTTGTATCGTTTTGTATCTGACAATAGAAAAAGTTAATGTTTCAGAGCAGCATTAAACCAAAGTAGAACACAGATTGCTTATGACATCTTCTTCCCAAGTAGTTCTCAAGATGTGTTACAGCACTTCTTTTAGCCTGTTTACAAGTTCTTTGAGTACTGTGTCATATTTTAAGTAATAAATATTTTAATACACAGCATAACCTTGGTTTCCAAATTGGATATATTCCAAGTTATAAAATACTAGAGCTTTATGGTGGTGTTTTTAGGGGTTTTTTGGTACCCCCACCACCTTGAAATGTTTGGTACATGTAGGTACTCAATAAGTTGTTGAATGAGTGAGTATCTAATAAAATAAGTAACTATAATGATGAAAAATCTCATGCGATTCAAGGCAAACTGGATAAAAGTATAGATGTGCCTAATTCAGGCCTCTCTTCCCTGTTGTGTGAAAAAGCTATATTTCTTACTATAAAAAAGCATTCTAACCTGAATACAAGCTGAAAACCTGACGTTTGGTTTCTACATATTATTGCCTGTCATCTGTCCAAAATTTAACTGGTGTCTGGTCACAAGATTACCTTCTATTCCTTCTGTAGTTGCTTAATTTCTAGATTTGTCAGTAGGTTATCAGCCCTTCATATATATACCAAAATTGTAGTTGTTGCTAGGAACCTGGCTAAGCACCTACTTACCAAAAACTAAAAACTAAAAATAATTGCACTCCACCTTGGGAAATGATTTTCAAAACAAATTTTCCTTGCATTCATCTACTTACCAAAAAATAGTGGTAGAGCTGTCTTCTTCCCTCCCAAACTCTGGCATAATAACTGTGCATCTGGAGTTCAGGGCCAGGGTTCCAATGTGGAAAAGCTGTTTCAATCTTGATTTGAATCTTCTGAACTCTGGAATCACTGGTGGAGTGTTGAGTAACACAGGCCAGCAAGTGGAGTGGAAATCATTAGACACAGCTCAACTAGGGCATGGCCTTCGTTAGCCCTGCAATGACTCCAACAGTTAAAGCTTGGTATTCCTTGGGTTGTTTTTAATACATTTTCATAATATTCCCCTCCCCCCAAAATCACTTTCAGCTGTATTAGATCAGCCACTTCAGATTCATAGTCAATGTTTGCTTTACATATCAGTACATTAATATATATTGTTTCACTTTAAATATTTTAGATTTTCATGATAACCCTATGAGGGTAGGTTTTGTTACCTCCATATTAAGATGAAGAAATTAAGGCTGAGAGAGGTTAAATAACTTGTCAAAAGAAATTAAAGTACTGAAGGAGAGCAAATCCAGATCTTTTGGCATAGTGTAGCTGCTCAATAAGTAGTAGTGATGACACATTTTTTAGTGTGTTATCTGACTTAATCTTCAAAACAGCCCGATATAGAAGGTATTTCTATCCCAGTTTTACAGATGAGGAAACTGGAACACAAAGCAATTAAATAATTTGCCTAAGATTATATATACACGTGCAAGAACTCAGGTTCCAGAGCCCATCTGACTCCAGAGCCTGTGCTCTTAACCATACTTTGCTCTTCTACCTCCCACATCCAAGGTTCTTTCTACTATGCCATCCTGCTTTTCTAGATATATTGGCAGGGAGAGGGTATAGGGGCCTTTGGGAGACTAGATAGAGGGAGGAAACGGTTTATGTAAGGCTTAAGGAGAAAAAGTAGCAGAGGTCTGGGTAGATTACGGTTGTCCAGAGAAGTGGTGTGATAAGAGCACACCATTGGGAGACTGGCTACCTGTTCCATTAACTTAAAGTTAGTTTCCTCCTTGTGTGATTTAAATAATATTTTAATACCCCATACTAGGGCTACCCTGTTTTCGACATTCCTATTCACTCTGTATTTCAGCAGTGCTAGTTCAGTGCACAGTCACCAAGCACTGTTGTATTTATTTAAGTTTGGTCTCTTGTCTCTCTTAATGTGATCACAAGCCATTAGCAATTACTTCTTTGCATATTTTAATTCTCTATCCCATTTAGACTATTGAGTGTATTCTGGGGTTCAGTAAATCTCTATAAACCTCAGAATTAGAATTGAGTGAATCACATAATCAGAGGTCTTCAGCAACCAGCAATGGTTTTTGGCATTAGAAATAATCCTTTTTTAATATGTCTTTATTGATTTTAGACAGAGAGAGAGGGAGAAGGATAGAGAGACAGAAACATCAATGAGATACAAACATCCATCAGTTGCCTCCTGCACACCCCCTACTGGGGATCAACCCCACGAACCGGGCATGTGCCCTGACCGAGAATTGAACCAGTGACCTCTTGGTTCGTAGGTCAGTGTTCAACCACTGATCCACACTAGCCAGACTAGAAATAATTCTTGAAGTTGAGTTGGGTTCTGTGACTTTGGGTAGAGACCTGCCAATCAAGTCAGCAGCAATCATCGGGATTTTTTAGACAGTGGCCATTTGCAAAACAGCAGTACAGGGAGCTCAGTCAATATTTTCTTTGTGAAATATTTAAGGACCTAACTAACCACCTATTTAAAACAGCTTCTGAGCACATACATTGGATTAATAGTAATAGGATAGAAATTGATCCACTCTAATACTTACGCTAGAATTTAGAGCTTAGGGGCTTGTCCTTTATGTTGAAAGAGTTAGTAAACAGAACTGCTGCCTGGAATAACAGAGAGTAACTTATGGACTATTTCTTGTCTTGCAGTAGCACTTGTACCATGGGCTTAGTCCTGCCTCTCTGGAGTGACACCCTAATTCATTTGGATGGTGATGGGTAAGAGCTTTCCCTTTTTATCTTCCTACAGAAAGCCAAGGGGCGGGGTTCCATCTTAGTGCCCATTCATTCAGCTGAATGCGAGTCCCACTGTGCCCAAATGAACTGTCATGTCAGCAGCTCAATGAGTCCTTTTAGACTCCTGTTTTGTAAAGTGGAGTGAAAATGCAACTTGCCAAGGCCTCTCACTTCTGTTCTTCTAGGCTGACTATGGTAAGAATCCAAACAAAGAAGAACTAGTTTGTTGGCTCACTCTTTAATCCGAGCATGTGGGACTGTTGCAATGCTCTCCCAGAGGATGATATGTTCTGTTTCAAATAACCTCTTGCTGCCTCTGCCAGCTGTCAGCCTACAGTGTAACCCTTTTCTGTGCCAGTTCCTTCCAGTGACCCTCCACCCCTACCCCTGGTGTTTTTAGAATGTGTCCCCAAGAGATCAAGATGTTTGCTCCAGTTTATAAAATCAGGGTCAGGTTTGCTTCATACCCATAAGACTTCCAAATAGAAATATACAGCAGAACAGTTTGTCCTTAGCTACAGCTGGGAAACGGTAATTCCCTAACTCCAACGTGGGAGTCCATTTGTTCTGCTCAGTAGATAAAAATCAGACAATTTGTTGAAGTTTTTCAGTCATGTCCTATACTCTAGTTAATGTCTACATGAAGTGCCCAGGCCAGTAGTTACTAGCCTGGGAGGCAACCTTGAAAACTCAAAACTGAAATAACACACTCTCATTTGTGGATTTTTTTCTTTCTTTTTTCCTTAGTGGGTTCAGCGTATCGACAGATAACAGAGTTCACATATTCAAACCTGTGTCTGTGCAGGCAATGTGGTAAGAGGACTTTTAATATGTCTATGAAAATTTTTTAATATGTTAATAGAGCAGCATTTTGTGAGAAGTAATATTTAAAATGTTACAATTCTCTATGAAAATGCCTACGAATTCTCTATGAATCTGTTTGTGTGTATAGAATTTTGTGTGAGCTGTTTGTGTGGCCATCATAGTTGAAGATGACTTAGAAGTTTAATTTTCAAATTATCACAGTGGAAGGCCTTAAGTATTGGTGAACAAGTGAAATTTAGAGGTGTTTTTAGACTCTGGGAGATACTTCATGAATCAGATAGCCAGTTGGAACTGAATTTTATGGAGGACACAGTGACTAAGTTAGCAGCAGTTTAGAGCCAAGTCTAAATATCACACTACTACTGTGCATTAGCTTTCAATTCTTAAGGTAATCAGGGATAGCACTGATGGAGTTACCTTATAGATAGAAGAGTTTCATTTAAATTTCTGGCAACTGTATGCCAGACTGTTCCCATAATGCAAATAAAACCTAGGAAAAAAGCATTGTAGTTGTTAATAACTATCAGCTGGTGTATTGACACTTTTAGGTTACTTACTATATGTGTCAGGCATTGTGCCTAGTGTTTACATGGATTACATCTAATCATTACACCAACTCCCCAAAAGAGTATTATTAGCTCCTTGTTATGGATGAGAAAACTGAGATTTTAGAGAGGTTACATAACTGGTCTTCAAGGATCTCTTATATTAAAACAAAATAGACTCCTTACTCTTTTTTTCTAGATTATCTAGAAAAATGACCTAATATAACCAAGGACTGATGTCTGTCCCCCAGTTTTAGTTCCTCATTCAGTTGCCTGTTTTGTAGTAGAAGTCCTCATGAGGAACAGAATGGACAGAACGAAAGCCAAATAAGAAATAAAGGAGCCTGAAAAAGACTCCAGGGAGATAATTTACCCCTGAATAACAGGATTGATAAGCTTCAAGTGGGTGGGGTCCTAAAACAGAGTCAACCGAACAATTAACAGTCTTATCGTTTCATGCAGCAATTGAGGTAGGACAGAGTTTCAGGTCATGTGTTGAGACCAGATTTTTAGATTTAGGGCATATTTCACAGATAAATTTCTCATGGAAAACTTATGACTGCCTTTGACTAAGGCTCAGTTAAAGTCAACTGACCTATCTATTCCCAGGTACCAAGTAAAACCAAACAGCGTAAGTCCCATAAGTGGTAGTGTTTTCCATTATATTTTGGGAAGAAGTACAAAGCAGTCTTAATTCTTACTACAGTGAAGATTCAGTTATAACCTTAGGTTAAGCCTTGATGCTCTAAAGTAGACTGACTAATCCTAGCTCTGTTAGCTTACTGCAGAATAAACTTTTTTTGGTGTACCACATAGGGAGAAGTGAACTGAAACTCACAGGAAAAAAAAAAGATGACATGTGGATAAAAGCAGCATTTAGACCAGGTGTTTCCTTTACAGGAAGGTAGTTACTACAGCTTCCCACTCCTGTAGGCAGCTGAAAAGTATGAGGTCGCTAAGCTTAAGCTTGAGTGTATTTTAGGGCACTTGCAGCAGGTGCTTGTGGAATATGCTTTTGAAGCATGTGTTGCCCCGATGAAGAAAACATGCATTGACTATCCTGTGCTTTGCAGTAAGCTGGCCCTTACCTTTGAGTCTGTGTAATGACACTGAAATTCACTGAGAATTCTCTGAGTTTGACTTAATTTTCTGAGAATTTGGCTTATTTTGAATAATAGAAAGTATTTTTAAAGATTCTGCTACCTTGTTTTTAAGGAAAAGTTTTCCTGATAAAAATGGACTGGCATATTTTTTCCTTATCGAATTGGTAGTGGTATTATCTTTAATTTACATTATACAATAATGACAAGAACTCATGGAGCAGAATTGTTATATACTGTAGATGGGAGAATAAACTGGAACAGCCTTTTTGAAGAATGATTTGCCCATATACCTTACCATTTTGCATGCCCTTTGACCTAGTAATTCTATTTCTAAGAATTTACCCTAAGGTAATAATCATAGGTGTTTGCAAAATTTTAACTATAAGAATGTTTGTCAGTGTTCCAATAACAGGAAAAGTTAGAAAACAATTTAAATGTCTGAAAAATAGGAATTAGTTAAATTATAATATATCCATGCTACTAAGTGTGAAACCATTAAAAAGTATCTGGTTGAAGAATATTTATTGACATGGAGAAATGTTGATGATAAAGTGCAAAATAAAAGAGCAAGTTAAAATAGTATGCAGAATATGGTCATATCTTTATTATAGATCTATACATAGACAAAAAAACTGGAAAGATCTATACTAAAACCTTACCAGTGGTTATTTCTGGGCGGTTGGATTGCAGTGCCTAAAAGAATGCCTAGTTCATAGTTGGAGCAGTTAGTATTTATTGACTAAAATGTCTAATTAGCTATAAATTTCTGCCTTTTAAAGGATATTTCTGCCTTTTACCTGAGGTTCCTAAATTTTCTAAAGTGAGCATGGATCACTTTTGTTATAAGACAAAAAATAAATAAAAAGACATTTTTAAGAAAAAGGTGTAGCCCTGGCTGGGTAGGTCAGTTGGTTAGAGTGTCTTCCCGATACGCCAAGCTTTCTGGTTCCATCTCCAGTCAGGGCACATACAAGAAGCAACAGATGAATGCGTAAATAAGTGAAACAACAAATATATCTGTATCTATCTATATCTCTCAATCTCTCAGTGTCCCTTTCCTTTCCACTCTCTCTCTAAAATCAGGTTTTTTTTAAAAAGATGTAAATGGATTGGCCCCAAAATTCTCTCATACTTGTTTTTTTCTCTTAGGAGAAACATTAGTTTATAGCTAATAAGACATTTCATTTAACAAATACTAACCGTGCTCCAACTATGAACTAGGCATTCTTTTAGGTACTCAAGATACATCAGCAAACAAAACATAGAAAGATCTCTGCTCTTGTGTAACTTTCTAGCATTTCTGGCCTTAGCTTTTCCCAAGTATATAACCAAAAAGGTACTTTTCAGTTGTGTTTACCTTTCTTGGGTTCCTGAGGTCAGAGTCAGAGATTTAATTAGTCTAAGAATAACCAGAGCTGTTCTTAGAAAGCTGCTCAAGTGTATGAATAAATGGTTTAAAGAAACTGGAAGACTAAGGCAGCAAGAATTGTAAGCGTCATTAGATCAGTACTTCCAGGACATTAAAGGGCATGTCCTCAAGGCTTAGGGGCATTTATCTATGATCTTTGTGGAGCCTCCAAGAATATAGGGAATGTATCCTGTAACATGATTCTGTGCCAAAGTAAAAATAAAAGCTTGCGATCTTTGGTTCTCTGGTGATATAGCATAGCCACAGCATGCTTCCAACTATGGGGTCATGACTTCCATAGGTACCTGGACCTGGTTTTCACTGTTGGGTTGTCAGTTCTCCTGTTCCCCTTTATCCTCACCTTAATATTGCCCCATATCTCTCAGCAAGAACTATCTAGTTGATTGTTATGATTGGATGATATACTATAATCAAAATCAGAGAAATCTTGAATTCCAGGGAGTAGATTCTCCAGAGACCAAATTCTGTAGGATTTAAACATTGGAAGAGTATAGGGTACACATGGATTATTGGCCTTTTGTTACCCCCATAATTCTACAGTGCTCATTGCCCTGCATATCTTTCAGGTCTGCACTACAGAGTTTACACAAGGCTTGTGAAGTGGCCAGAATGCATAACTATTACCCAGGCAGCCTGTTTCTCACCTGGGTGAGTTATTATGAGAGCCATATCAACTCAGATCAATCATCAGTCAATGAATGGAATGCCATGCAAGATGTACAGTCCCACCGGCCTGACTCTCCAGCTCTCTTCACTGACATGTAAGTCAGTTTGCTGAAGATCATGGAAGTCGTCCTCTCTGTTGTGTTCTAGGATGCCTTAAGCAACATGTTCCTCCCTAATCTCTCCTCTTGGGGGATTCATCTTACCCAGCAATATTAGTCATTGTCTACACTATGCAACTACCATGTAAAGAACCCTGTTCTTTCTGTTGTCTGCAAAGGCCTGAGGCATTTCACTCCTGGGCACAATGCAGTCTCCATAAATAAGAACTGCAATACCATAAAATTCCATTAATTTGGATTCTACTAATTTGAAATTTGAGTTTAAAGGAGTTAAGCTGAAGTCTGTCTTTGCATTATCTGTGAAAGAAACACTTGGTAAGCAAATTAAAGAAAAAGAGAAGCTTTTAGAAGGATGTTTCCAGTACTTAAGAAAAAATATTTCTAGGCTACTGGAGTGACTCAGTTGGTTGAGTGTAGTCCTGGGCACCAAAAGGTTGCTGGTACTGTTCCCAGTCAGGGCATATACCTGGGTTGCAAGTTCGATCCCTGGTCAGGGCATGTACAGAAGGCAACTGATCAATGTTTTTCTCTTACATTGATGTTTCTGTCTCTCTCGCTCTCCCTTCCTCTCTCTAAGCATATCCTCAGGTAAGGAATTAAAAAAAAAAAAAAAAAAAGAAAAGATGTTTCTAGTCAATTAAAAAGAATGCCTAGGTTTCTCTAATTCTAAACTGATTTCTATTCAGATTTTTTTTTAGAGTATTTTATAATTTGTGTGTTAAGACCTTTGCCATATTAAGTCTGTCTCAGTAAAATTTTATTAAATCTCTCTGGTATATGGTGAGTTAAATAAAGGCCTAAGGTGAAGCTCATGTTTATTTCCTTTTTAGGTCTATGTGTTGAAACTTAAGTGACTATTTTAGAAATTTTTTTCACACTTAGTTCCTGCTTTGGAAATTAATCAGGATGTTTGTTTTGCTCTGAACTGATCTTTCTGCACTTCCAAGGTATTCTATAGCTGAGAAAGAAGAGTAGCTACTTAACTATCTGACCTTATAAACCTTCATCTAGAGATTCCTAAAGTGATACCAAAACAGTTCTTGATTTTTTTAAAAAAGGCTTAATTTAGATAATAAATTATTTTTACTAGAAAAGGTAAAATTTCCAAGAATTGTGTGAACAGAACAGTCAGAAAAGCAATGGAAGGTTTTGCATAGGGTGTTACTGATACTAGGACCTCTTTTTCATTAGCTTTAGTCCTTTCAAGATCCCACAGTAACAAAAAAGGTAAGGCTTAGTTTGACTTTCAGAATGTTGGGAAATGTTGCTGATTTCCAGCTTTACAGCTGGTTGATGGGTATCAGAGGAATAGATGTCACATCTGGCTCAAAAAGGGGCATTCTGAGCCCTAGCCAGTTTTCTCAGTGGTTAGAGCATCAGCCCGTGGACGGAAGGGTCCCAGGTTCAATTCTATCCAAGGGCATGTATCTCGGTTGCAGGCTTGATCCGGCCCCCCCCCCACCCCCCAGTCAGGGTGTATGCAGGAGGCAACCAATCGATGTGTCTCTTTCATATCAATGTTTCTCTCTCTCTCTCCCCCTTCCACTCTCTCTGAAAAGCAATGGAAAAAATATCCTTGGGTGAGGATTTAAAAAAAAAAAAAACACATTCTGAGCCAGACTTACATGAGAGAAAACCCTTCTATTTTTCATGATTTTATTAGAGAAAATTTGGAAATTATAGTACAAAAGAAAAAAATGAAATTCCCCGTAATTTCTCAATATTCCCAAGCAAAAGAAATAATGTAAAATGTACTCCCTGGCACATGGTAGAAGCTCATTAAATATTAGTTCTTAGTATGTACAATATAACCCCAGTTTTAAGATAATTTAATAAACAAATGTTTGTTCATTAAAAAAAGACTGAAACCTGTCAGTCACGGTATTTTTAATAATGATTGTCTCTGATAGAAGGATTTTCGGTGATTTTTATTTTCTTGTGTTTTTATGTATTTTCCAAATTTTTCTCCAGCGAGATTGAGGAAGAATGTGTGCTTATGTTGTAATGCTTTTTCCATTTCCATTTCCTCCCTAAGTTGACTAGAAAAACCTTTAAAAACATGCTGAAAACGCAGGGAGAATGTGTGCCAAATGGACTTAAGTGCTCTACTATGAATTAAGTTTATGTTTTAAAATCCAAGGAAGAGGAAGAAGGGAAGATATGTGTATGGGGCCTCCAATATATGTCAAATCTATGCCAGGCACTTTATTTTTTTTTTTAATATACCTTTATTGATTTCAGAGAGAGGAAAGGAGAGGGAGAGAGAGATAGAAACATCAATGATGAGAGTCATTAATTAGCCACCTCCTGCAGGCCCTCTACTGGGGATTGAGCCTGAAACCCGGGCACATGCCCTGACACGGGGAACTGAATCTTGATCTCCTGGGTCATAGGTCGATGCTCAACCACTGAGTCACGCTGGCCAGGCCATGCCAGGCACTTTGTACAGGGTATCTCATTTAACCCTCATAAGAACCTCACAAGGCAGATACTACTTTTCTTATTTTATATAAAAGGAAAGAGGGTCAGAGAAAGGAAGGAACTTGTTCAAGTTCATATCACTAGTAAGTAACAGGACTAAGATTAAAACCTAGATATGTTTGCTCCCAAACCACTCTGCATCAGACAGGTGTGAAGGATTTGGATAAAGATTGCTAAACGAGGGAATCTAAACCATGCACACAGGTGCTAAACTTTGTTTTTATCAAAATTTATTTTTAATAGAAGACTGAAGTGTGTAACTTTCTACCATTAGCTATGTCTGTGAAAAATGGTGGGGAACACGATTAAGAATTTTAGTCCTAGTCAAGACAGGGAGGCCTTGGCTAACTGACAGGGAAATGGCGTAGGTATCAGCTGTATGCTGCAGGGTTCATGAGAAACCAAAAGCCCAAGTAGTAGGGAGCCCCAAGGTTGTGGGGTCAGAACATCCATCTTTGGAGATTACTAAAGCTATTTTTGCAGCCAGTGATAAGGCTGTAGGCAGCAAGGGCAGGCAGGATGCCTGAAGCCTTAGTCCATTTCCATCTCCAAATAAGGAGGCACAGAACAGATACCTTTCTTGAGTAGGTAGGAGGGGAAAGATGAGACAGAAAGTGCTCTCTGTCAGCCTCACTCAAATTCTGCATAATATGAAATAATGCTTTTAGACAGAAGCATCTAGTTACATCGAACCAATACCTGTCTAGTAATTGGAGAATCAGCTTCCTAGTTTGATTTCATATTAAGGTTCATGGGTAATTTTATTTTTAAAAGAGAAGACTAAGGGAAGCAACATAATCTTGCAGGTAGAGTGTTAGGCTGGGCTAAGAGTTCTGTTTCTCCTACCAGTGTATGTGATCATTGGCATGTCATTTAACCCTTCAGCTGTTTATTTCCTTTATCTGTAAAATGGGGGTAACAGTTTCACAGAGAGATATTGTGAGAGCTTTTGTGAAAAAGAAAGCTTTTTTTAAAATAAAAAATGAAAAAGTATCTTTATTGATTTGAGAGAGAGGAAAGGAGACGGAGAGAGAGAGATAGAAACATCAATGATGAGAGAGTCATTGATCGCTGCCTCCTGCATGCCCTCGACTGGGGATTGAGCCCGCAACCCAGGCATGTGCCCTGCCCAGGAATTGAACCCTGATCGCCTGGATCCTAGGTTGATGCTCAACGAGCCACTCCCAGCCAGGGGGTTTGTTTGTTTGTTTGTTTAGCATTTTTGATGGAAGTACTCCAGGTAGTTAATCCTCGAAACCTATTTTGGAAGAGAATTTGCCTCATTGAAGAAGGCAGAAATCACTCCTCCCTCTTTTCCATTTTCTAAAACCATAACAGTGAATGAATGAAGAGCATTAGATGGCATTTTATGCTACAGAAGACCCAACTTCATAGTGGATCACACCACTGGTTTACCCAGCTCAGTGGTACTTGATGGGAAAATATGGATTATGGTCCTCCATTAAAGTTTACACTCAATATAGCCTATTTGTCTTTACTCCTTCATAGATCTATATATGTGAATATATTTAAGGGCTTTTAGACATGTACAACCTCTTCAAGTAATAATTTCTACATGTTTACATTCTATACATTCTGAAAAGAAAATTTTTAAAATATTGTTTTCTTTTGGCCATTCCTCCAGAATATAAATTTGAGGGTAATAGAGGCAGAACCAGTCAATTTAAAAACATAATCAGTGGCACATTAATTAACTTAGCTAAATTCCTGTCTAAGAAAAATCATAATTTCTCTCTTCTCAGACCAACTGAACGTGAGCGAACAGAAAGACTAATTAAAACCAAATTAAGGGAAATTATGATGCAGAAGGATTTGGAGAATATCACATCCAAAGAGGTAAGAGACCTTAAGTCCACATTGTTTCAAGGTTAGGTAGGAGTGGGATATGTGTGGGGCTAGAAATGGTGAGTGAGTGAAAGTACAGAGGGACTTTACAGAGATTAGTAGAATATGTCATCTTTGTTTCAGATACGAACTGAGTTGGAAATGCAAATGGTGTGCAACCTGAGAGAATTCAAAGAATTTATAGATAATGAAATGATAGTGATCCTTGGTCAGATGGACAGCCCTACACAGATATTTGAGCACGTGTTCTTGGTAAGTTCTGGGGCCCGTTTAAGTGGTTTGCCAAAGCTAGTCCGTACCAGCCCATGCGGGGAGGGGCAACTGTTAAATTTTATTATATTTAAATAAAATGTAACTTACATTAAAAACAAAGGTAACAAATACTTAAACCTCATCAGTTTCTAGTTCTTTCACTATTATCTGTGCTCTTATGTTTATTTACGTCTACTGTATGGTGGAAATGCTTTATAATGGTTAGCTTCTGCTCATCCATTCCCAATTTCTCATTCAGTGGCATCATAAAATTGACTGTGGTGGGAAAATTTACACCAAGGAAACTGGCAAATGCTACAAATCAGGCCTTTTTCCCCCATGGGTTATTAAATATCTCATCTTTTCTTCATAATAGTCAAAGTCAAAAACAGACCAGTGCGTAATAGTTTTCTGCAGTGCATCCAAATAGGATGATCCTTTAAGGTCACTCTCAAATCTGCCAAATGTGTCTTACGGGCTGATATATCTGAGCAGAGCAAGTGGGAACTACTCACAGCTGAGGCTGTCGGACTTTTAAGCATTTTGAACCTTGTAGCTGCATTTTGAGTCCCCCAAATACTTTTGTGATTACCAAAAATTTGGTAACTTTAAATTGTTCTTCATAGTTCTTGATCATTCAGGGACCTGTAATTAACCCAAGGAGGCCTCTGTGACAGGTGACTTGGGAAAGCTGCTAAAATCCTGACACATTTTCCTCCCAAATGCAAAAGTTTTCGTCTGTACACAGTAGTGGAAACAAGGTTAACAGGGACAATTAAAGGGGAGGGGGCTGCCAGAACCAGGGGGTTGTTTGTTTGTATCCTCATCTTAGGATGTGCTCATTGATCTTTAAAGGGGGGGGGGCGTCGACGTGAGAGAGAAACGCCTCCGAGCGGTTGCCTCCGTGCATGCCCTGCCTAGGGATGCAGCCCGCAGCCCAGGCTTGCGCCCTGACTGGGAGTCTGACCCAAAACCTTTTTGGTGCACAGGACATAGCGCTCCAGCCCACAGAGCTGCCCGGCCAGGGCAGAGCCTTGTTTTTGTTTCCACTTCCCACAAACTTTGACCAAAAAATGCTAACAAGGAACTAAATTCAATTGGTTTGAATTTCGCTTCCTTTCTCTGGTGAGGATATTTGTGAACTGTGAAATGATTAGAAGCAGGGAAACGGGAGAGAAGAATAAATGCACAGGAACTGACTAAACTGGATCATCTCACCCTGAATATTCAAGAGTTTACTTCACCAAGCAGTCAGACTTTGTGTCATGGAAGGCTTGTGCCCTGAATTAACTTGCTGACGCTCTAGAGTATGTGTGCTTATGGCATGATTCACAGTGGTGTATAGCAGTGAAATTACTCATGAGAAGCTATAAGCTGGGAGGGGAGCTTCTTTTCCATTGCTTTAACTTGACCGTTGCCATTTCTGGATGTAGATCAACAGCAAAGTTGTCTTGACCTTTCCATTTGTAAAGCACCTGTCTTTGTTGTCTTTTGTGTATACTTCCACAAGGATTCAGATATTCCCTGCTTTTGTATTGTTGGAAAGAATTTTTGTGTTATCTGTAGAAAACTTATGTGTTACTCATTCAAATAGACCCTGCCCCCAACTGTCTCCATGTATCACAACATTTTTATGAAGGGCAAGTGCCCATAGCCACAAATAGCTCATGTTTGAAAATGACTAAGGCTGTAAACTTAACTTTTCCATTGAACTTGGATTTTAATACCTAAAAGGGTATAGACATGAATATCAAATACAGTCAATATCTGACTGGGCAGCCTGTCTGATTTCAGTCATACTTCCCTGTCTCTGATGCCACCCTTTCAAGAACTACTTTCCCCTTATCCCCCCCCCCTTCAAATGGTATATTTTAGGACATATAAACAAATTTTAATAGTACTTTAAGCAGAAAGAACAATCCATTTTTAATATGTAATTACTTCCATATTTTTGAAAAAAGGAAACTATTCTGCTTCAAATATAATTCTGTTTTCAAGAGAATGGACATGTTCTTTCCACTGTGAATATTTTTCTTATTTGAGAAAAACCTTTCAAACTGGAGAATCCTGAAATTCTTATCCAACAAAACAAGTAGATGAACAGGTTGTCTAAACATCTTATTGTACTTTTTCCTGGATGGCTTTCTCCCTTTGTTTGCACACCATGTCCTGTGTCTAAACCCCTATCTCTTCTCCAGTGAGTCTGTGCTGTGCTGGCTTTTCCAGCAGTTAACACGGAAAAAGAGGTCTTATCCAAGTTGCAAATGGTGGTGTTAATTTTCTGCAAAGTCATTTCATCTTGTGCATAGCTGCCATGCCTGGAGCCCAAGTAGATTGTGTGAAGGGAGGCAGCAGGATTTCTCTCCTCCCTTTGGAAGAATGCTCAGCCCTGTAGTGCACTGCACAGAGATGTTTATTTGGAAAGGTGTCCAGCTGGTATGGAGAAGAAAAGTGTAGAGCATATTTTAAAGAAAATCTGCAGCAAGAAGAGAGGATTCATTGGCTGAAAGCCAGGGTATTTCCAGAAAAAGTTCTTCCACACCCTTAAGAGTGTACTATTTCTCTGAGCTGGAAGCCTTTGCCCAACCAAATCTCAGTATCAACAGCTCTCCTGGAGGCTGTCCGATTTGGCTGAGAAAAAGCTAGATATGAACAGAGACCCTTTGCAGAAAGGCAGGCAGCTTTCTTAGTTAAACAAGGGAAACACAGGAGTATTGGACACACAACCAATAATTTTGTTCATGGTGCTCACTTTGGCAGCACATATGCAGTAATTTTGTTCATAAAAAAAGGTAGTCAGAATTTTACTGCTGATATCTTTTTCAAGACTGGACATTACACATTCTTTTAGAATAGTGTTTATTTTTCACAGAAAAATTAAGCCTCAAATTTGTGGTTACTTTTTAACAGTAGGTGCAGAGAAATGGAGAATATGTGAATAGGTGAGACAATAAACAAATGAACTGTTTTTCATATTCATGATTTGCATCCCTCTACTGGACATGTGTACAGTGCAGTTAAAAGAAATACTGTGCCTGGTTGCCACAGTAATGATGCTTGCAGTGTGGAGGCTGTGGGGTGATGAAGAAGATCTTGGGCAGGGGTACCAGTCCTTGGAGAATGTTTCAAGTTGTATTGATCTGAGCAGAACCCCAGTACATTCCTCCTTATTTGCCATAAATGTGCTCTCCTCTGCTATTTTGCTTGGGACATTTGGACCCCAACAAAGCTATTTCCTGAAGATAACAACTGAAAAGAAATCAGTCACTTGGGTCTTTGCGCCAGGGTATAGTGTAGGGGAACCAGAGTGAAAAGATGGAAATGAACTTACTTAAAAATGTATTATAGTCCCAAGATTTCATTTTACATTTCAGGAAAGTTAGAAAATTCTTTGCATAATTACATAGAACATAGTGAAAACCCCATGGAATTAAGTCATTGTAAGCCTGAGAAGCGGAGAGAAAAAAGATTGAGTCTGTGGAAGACCCCAGAGGGCCAATATAAATGGCATTTGTATTGAAGGCAGAAAAGTAATTACACCGCATTGACTCCAGTTCTTTCTTTCAGGTTGAACTTGAAGCAGCCGTAACCACAGCCCAAGTCACTTTACACAGGCTTCACTGAGTCAGTAGCCAGGGCTTTTAATTTATTTTGTTTCTGGATGTGTGTCATTTCAGATTGTCAGGTTGAATTTTCTCTGAACAGGTAGATAAGAAACCATGGACTTCCCCTATCATGTCAGGGTTATTTCCATCTAGCTGGACAGAGTTCCTCAGAGGATTTAGATTTCTAAATTGAGTTAGGTGGTCACATTTCCCTGGCTCCAGTGTAGCCAGTCAACCCTTTATTGCTTGGCTTCTGTCTCCTTGAAGTCCTTTGTAGTTCTTGCGTCTTTCTTTGGTGTGGGAGCTAGTTTTCTAAGATTGAGCTTAGAGCCTTCTGAACCTTCCATATTTTTAGAAAGCAAATCAGCTGAGCCCTAGTCTATGGAAAAGATCAGTTGTTCATCACTTACTGGAACTTCAGTACAGTATCCTTGAGATCTTCCAGTTAAATGGCTAAATTACATTTCACTTGTAATATGGTGATAGTGCTTGCATAACACTTAACAATTTTCACAGTGCTTTACTTACTTATTTCATTTGATCATTCAACAAACGTTTGTTGATCCTCTGTTGTGCTATGTATGCGGGTAGATATCTGTAGAGTGTGATGTCATTCCATAACGAGGGCGTGATAATTCACATTAGATGGATTCTCACAGAAAAACAGTGGAATAAGGATCCAAAGGTGGCCCTTGGATTAGACAATTAGAAGAGGTCGTTAGTAACATTAGCAAGAGTGATGAGGCCAGAAGCCACAGTGCTGTGGGTTGAGACACATGGGAAATGAGCAATGAGAAGCAGTATTAGATTATGTTTTTGTGAATCTTGGCTATGAAGGGAAGGGGAAAAGGACAGTGTGTAGAGGAGAATTCAGAATGAAGAGAGGGTTGTCCCATTTTAATTTGAGAGAAACTGGGTTTTTTGTTTGTTGGCTTATAAACAGCAGAAATTTCTTTCTCACAGTTCCAGAGGCTAAAAGTCTGAGATCAGGTGCCTGCATGGTTGAGTGAGGGTCCTCTTCCAGGTTTCAGGCTTCTCTTTGCACTCTCACATGGCAAAAGGAATTGGGAGAAACCACATTTGTAATCTGCAATTAGCTATATAGGACTGGGTGGGGGTAGTGTTCAACTTTATAGATAAGGAAAGTGAAGACAGGTTAAGTAGTTTGTCCAGTGCTCCACAGTAAGGGGAGTTCGGACTTGAGCCTGGGTCTTCTAATGCTAAATTCCATTTAATACATAGTTCTGAAATAGGTAAATTTTTATTTTTAAGTGTTTGTCTTTCAAATGACATGAACAGATAACTCAAAGATAGAAATGGACTTAAAATATTGAAAAATTGCTCACTTTTATTCTTAAGAGAAATGCAAATTGAAATTACACTGAGATAACATTTCAGACCTATCAGATTGGCAAAAATTCAAAAGCTTAAACACACATTTGTTGGCAAGGCAGCAGGAGAAGTGGCACTCAGACATTGCTGGTGGGAATGCAGAATTTTTTCAGACTCTGTGGAGGGGTATTTAGCAATGTCTAACAAAACTATACACTTACCCTTGACCCAGAAATCTTGCTTCCACACATATGAAGCATTCATAGAAGATTGGTTGAATATTATATCACTATCCAATGAACTGTTATAACACTACTATGCAGATAGAAGGACGATCTCTATAAACTATGATATGGCATGGTTTATATATTTGAAAGTGAGGGGAAAAAATATACGTAGTATACTATTTTTGTGTAAAATGTAGTAATAAGTGTATACTTTTTTTTTTTTCAAAATAGAACATAGAATAAGTGGTTACCCATAGGGATTGAAGAGGGATATGGCTAAGAGTGAAACTTCAAGTTTACTTTTATTTATTTATTTTTTTAAATATATCTTTATTGATTTTAGAGACAGGAAAGGAGAGGGAGAGAGGGAGATAGAAACATCAATGATGAGAGAGTCATTGATCGAGCCCGCAACCTGGGCATGTGCCCTGACCGGGAATCGAACCCCGATTGCCTGGATCCTAGGTCGATGCTCAACTGCTGAGCCACACCCGGCCGGGCTCAAGTTTACTTTTAAATAAACTTTTGGTTTTCAACCATGTAAAAGTTTTGCGTATTCAAAAAACTCAAATAAAATAGAATAGAATAGAAAAAATATATATTGTTTTTCAAATGGCAAATTGAATACAAACAGGAACAGATGAATCCAAATTCATATTAAATTGATGACCTCACAAAAAGAAATTAATCCAGATAACTTTAAAGCATAACATTCTGATTGTACCCCTTAATAGGATATAATAAGAAAAAAAAGAACTGCAAAGAATATTTAAACTTAACAGGTTTGTTATTGGTTGCGGTATTGATATGTAATAATGTTGAAACTATTTTGTTGTAAGTAGAGCAAATGGGTTGTTGGAACCAAGATTCTCACTGTGGAGTAGGGAGATATAAACAATGGGAGGGGCAAGGAAGAACCTTGCAGTATTGAATTTGAATTGGCAGGACCAGTATAAACTGATTATATTTTTTGAAATATTTCCCAGATCTGTCCACTGGAGAGTGTTAGAAGCATGACACCCGCTGGTTATGAGCACACCCAATTAATGCCTAGATCTGGATTTTAAAATGCCATGTGGATTTCACTCACAAAGTGAATCTGGAATCTTTTTTTTTTTTTTGAGTCAGAAAGTGAGGAATTGCTAAAGACTAATGGGGTCATATCAAAACAAACCTGCTTGAAAAGATTCCCACTGCCAAATTCAGAACAATTTGAGTCGTCCCCTCCCAAAATGATAATAGATTATAACAATAAATATAAAAAGCATTCAAGAGTCCATAATGACACTCAAATAAAGGGTGGGAACATTGATTAGATAAAGCTCTCTTTTACAGAAAAGTGCCAGCTAGCATGCAGAAGGAATGATGGAATTAGAAAATCACCATTTTGTAACCTCCAGTAAAATAATTGATTTGGGCAAGATCAGCAATTGATGCTGAAACCATAGAGTAAAAAATTATCATGAAACAGGATATTCACATGGCCTCAAAGATTGCTCACACCTAAAGATGGCTGTTTATAAAGGAACCTTTACAATAGAAGGATGCAGCAGACACAGAGGTACTGCCAAGAATTCAAAGTCAGCATGACAAATAATGGGACAAACTGACATTATGCGCCTTATGATTCGATGCAGTAGGAAGCACAAAGCATCACCCTTGTAATATTCTTGCCAAGAATGCTTGACCTGAATTTAGTCATTAGGAAACAATCAGACAAATCCAGATTGTGGAGAGTTCTCCCAAGATTACAGACCTGTAGTCTACAAAAATGTCATATCATGAAAGAAAATAAAGATAAGGGTGGACTGTTCTAGGTTAAAGGAGATAGAGACATGACAACTAAGTGCAAAGTATGATTTTGATTGAATGAATATAAAGTATATTTTGAGGACAGTTTTTGAAATTCAAATATGGATGATTGTATTGATGTTATCTTTCTTGGTTGTAAAAATGGAATTATATAGGAGAATGTTTTCTTAAATGATACATGGTCAAGTATTGAAGTATCATGCTCAAATTACTTTTAAATGGTTTGGGGAGGAAAGTAGGACATATATTGAAAGAAAGGGGAAAGGAGAGAGAGAGCAAATGTGTCAAAATATTAAAAATTCATGTCTCTTTCAGATAATCTACAGGACCTCCTTAAATTTTGAATATCCTGTTTCCCTCATTTGTTTGACAGAGCTGCTATTTCACTCTTTACACACACTACCCCACCCCAACTCCTTACATGCAATGTAATGCACTAGAAAGAGTGTGGGCTTTAGAATGAAATCTAGGTTTAATTCATAATTATGCCATTTTGTTCATTCAACAAATGTTTATTGAACTCCTGCCAGGTATCAGGCACTATACAGGAGTTTCCATAAAGAACAAGAGAAGCTTATGTTACAGTGGAGGAGAGGTAGTAAATAAGCATATAAATAAATACACAAATAAAAACTGTGATACACGCTTTTGAAAAAATCAGTACTATAAACAAGAATAACAGACATTTAACTTAGATTGGAGGATGGTCAGAGATACCTTTCTAGTATTGTGATCTTGAACAGAAATTATTTGAATTCTATGAGGGTTGGTTTACTTATCTGTAAAAATGAAGATAACTTTCTTACTCTATCATTTGTGAAAACTAAACATGGTAACATAGGAAGTACCTGACACATAGAGAGGAATCTCAGTGATGATATTGGCTTTCTTTTTAGAAATTGCTTCTTCCCTCACAAGGCCTCCCGTTCAAGTATTGTATTTGGTTCATTTGCTGATACTCCCTAACCTTGTCGTTTTGGTTCCACAGGGCTCCGAATGGAATGCCTCTAACTTAGAGGATTTACAGAACAGAGGGTAAGCATCACCGTTTTATCTTTACCGGTTTCCAGGCAAAGAGGTGTCAGTGAGTTACTTTAAGCTTCAGAGTTGCTTCCGTTGATTCTAATCAAGTGCAATATAGTAAGAATTAAAACTGCTGTTCTCCCACTTTGTCATCCTCCCACCTACCAAAAAAGAGCGACTGTCTCGGTGGAAAGGCTTTCAGAAACAAACGTGTAAGCCTTTCATGCTGCTTAAAACCAAATGCAGTTATTGGTTTCTTTAAAAAACAAACAGAAAAAAACACTTTGCTTTTGTTGGAGCAGTTTAAAGGGTCACAGCAAAATTGAGGAGAAGGTACAGAAATCTGCCATATAGCCCTGCCCCAACATGCATAGCCTCCCCGGTTACCAATATCCCCCACCAGAGCGATGCATTTGTTTAAACTGATGACCCTACATTGAGACATCATAATCACCCAGAGTCCATAGCTTACAGTTCACTCTTGGTGTTGTACATTCTGTGGCTTTGGACAAATGTGTAATGTATCCATCATTATGGTATCACAGAGTATTTTCACTGCCTAAAAATCCTTTATGCTCCATCCACTTACCGCCTTCCCCCTCCCCCTAACTCCGGCAACCACTGATCTTTTTACTGTGTCTATAGTTTTGCCTTTGGTTCCTATTTTTACGTAAGAGTACACAAAACTGCATGTTGGCTTCACGACTGTTCGGTCAGTGTTTATTAAACATCTTCTGTGGGTCTAGCATGGTCCGAGGTGCTTGGGATCCAAAGATAAATAAGCCCTGGTCAGGTGGCTCGGACGGTTGGAGCATCATCCCATGCACCAGAAAGGTTGAGGGTTCGATTCTCAGTCAGGGCACATACCTAGGTTGCGGTTTCAGTCCCTGGTTAGGGGCATGTACAGAAGGCAAACGATTGATGTTTCTCTCTCTCTCTCCCTTCCTCTCTTTAAAAATCATTAAAAACACATCCTCGGGTGAGGATTCTTTTAAAAGTGTACAGAGATAAACGAGACTAGGTTATAAATGTAAAATGGACAAGCTTCTGAAACTGAACAAGAGGACCTATCTTGTATTAAGAAATGTGCTCCTAAACAGTATGGTTATTGAGTTTTAGTGTAGCAATTGAGACCACAGTGAACATTCAACAAGCAAAAAGCTGCCGTTCTTTCCTTTTTATTTCTTAGCTAATGCCTAAATTTTTTATTGAATTTGGCCTTAGGAGGTCAGATCATCCCAACAACAGAAGAAAAAATCATGTCTGGAAATTGGCCATGCTAACTCTTCATTGTAGACAGAGATAAGACCTACTGAGACTCAGAGATAGCGACGGCTGCCCGGCTGGTTGTGGGCTGCCTGTTTTCTCAGCTCCAAGCAGCCTTCTGGTTATCTTTCCCATGATTAGATGCATACTCCCTACTTTCCCCCCAGAAGAGAGGTATGTCATAATTGCTAAGATGAATTTGGAGCAAGCCTTAAGCCAAATAATTATAAAAAGAGTTCCACAGGAGGAAATCTGGTTACTTAATTTAAGAAATGAAAATAAATAGAACTTGGAAAGTTTAAATGGATAAGAATTAAGTCTAGAGTTCTTAAAAACAGAGATTATCTTAGATTTGTGTAAAACACACAGGGTGGGGCAGAAGTAGGTTTACAGTTGTGAGTACGTGAAACACGGAGTTTATTCTTGTATTATTAATGTATTTTTTCTGACAGTTTTATTGATGAGACCTATTAATTATTTTACAATAATTAATAAATAATAATACAAAAATAAACTGTGTTTCATGTACTCACAACTGTAAACCCACTTTTGTCCCACCTAGCTCAGAGTTTTATAGGGTACTCAGTAAATGTGAAGGAGTGATAGAAAAATTGACAGACTGACTTGTGGGAAACTAGCACCTAGATACTGTGTTTAATATGAAATCTGAGATTTGGTATAGCAGTGCTTGCCAAATACATTGGAATCACCTAATGCATACATACACTTTGACTTTTGACTTACAACCCCGCTTGTAGATGAGACTTATTCATCTCATTTACTACTTATAAGACTAAATTATAAAATGCAGGTGTATCTGTTTGTTTTAAAAGACAGTATGGTTGGGTATTCAGATATCAACTTAGATCTTGATTCTTAAATTCACTAGTTTTTAAACTTTAGTGGTTGAAGAATTATAGTTCAGGCATCTATACCCCAAAACATTGCCTGTGGATGATTTAAGAGATTTTCAAGTGTAATTTTTTTTTTTAAATATATCTTTATTGATTTCAGAGAGAGGAAAGGAGAGGGAGAGAGTCAGACAGAAACATCAATGATGAGAGAGTCATTGATCGATTCCACAACCCGGGCATGTGCCCTGACCGGGAATCAAACCCTGATCGCCTGGATCGTAGGTCGATGCTCAACCGCTGAGCCACGCCCGGCCGGGCTCAAATGTAATTTTTATGTTAAGGCTATTTTTACCAATCTACTGACTTTAGAACCCCAAGTAAAGTGCTACTTCATGTAGAGATGGCAAAGAAGTTCCAAGGAGTGCCAATTTCAATTGGTAGTAGCTGCCTAGAGTTCTATAGTGAAAAGGATTGGGAAGCCCTGTTCTACTATAACCCATTACTGAAGTATGGAATTGGAGGTTGGAAGTTGTTCATTTTTATTTTAAATAAAATAAGTGTGCTTGCCCTTTTTTTCTGACAGTTTTATTGAGAGAGAATACATATACAGTTCACCCATTTAAAATGTATACTTTAGTGGTTTTTAGTACATTCATAGATGTGCGACAAGCAATTTAAAACATTTTTCAACCCAAAATGAAAGCCTATACTCTTCAGCTGTCACCCCCATTCCCTTCTTTCCCTTCGCCACTAGAAACTATTAATCTCCTTTCTGTCTCTTTAGATTCACCTATTCTAGACATTTCATATACCTAAATGGAATCCTATAATATGTGGTGTTTTAAGAATTTTTTTAACTTAACATTATACTTTGATGTTTATTAATGTTGTAGCATATATTATTAGTACTTCATTCCTTTTTTATTGCCGAATAATCCATAATATACCACATTTTGTTTATCCATTTATCAGTTGATGGACATTTAGGTTGTTTCCACTTCTTGGCTATTTCGAACACTTCTATGATCATTCATGTACAAATTTTTAGGTGGGCTTGTGTTTTCATTTCTCTTGAGTTTCTGCCTAGGAGAGGAATTGTTGGGTCATATGGTAGCTCTATGTTTAACCTTTTGGGGAGCTGCTTGACTGTTTTCCACAGTTGCATATGCTTGCTTTTTAAATTAAAAGGAAAAAAATTCTTTCTAGTAATGAACTTTGAGCTAAGTTAAAACAGATTCAAATCATATCCCAGAACAATTTTGGTTTCTCCACCTTAACCACAGAATTGGTTAGCTACGGCTATCCCTTCCTGTAGTCATTTCTCTGACTTCGGAGATAGAGTTTGTAGAACGAAGCAGCTTCTGCAGAGAAATGAGGGAAATGTGCTGTGTTGTTGGAGATAACCCTTTGGCAAATCAAACCCAAGCTTTTATTGAGATTGTGCCATGAGAGAGAGAGCAGAAGAAATTTTAGATTCAGAAACCCTTTGCTGCAGGCCTCTCAGTATGGGAGAACTCTCAGACACATCTGCTGCCATAGCAGCCAGGAATGCAGCCTAGAGAGTTCAGAGAGTTTCAAGTCCAACTTTCCTCTGACCCTCCCAGCCCTGGCCTCATTTGCATTTCGTGTAATTTGGAGAGAGTAAGAGAGCAAAATCTGACAATCTGGCATTTAGGAAGATAGAAGGAAATTTTTCCCTTTTATTCCTTTTTTTTTCTTTTCTTGAGATACGTAATTTAATACAAATGACTTCCAAAGAATAAATTATGTTGCTGATAATTTTAGTGACTAAAGAGGAATTGTCACGTCATGGGCCTCAGGCTGATTCTTTGGAGTAAAATACGAGACATGTTTTTAAAAGACCATCCAAGATGAGATTGTGTAACTACATAAACTGAAAATGGAATTTAGATGTTGAACTTGGTAGACAGCTTTTTTCCCCAGTAACTCCCTGGTGCCTAGGTATGCATAGGACCCTGTTACACAGTTTCTATACTAAATAAGTATAGCCTCTGGGTTTTTTTAGCTTTCTTCAGTATTTTGGTATTTAATTTCAGCATAGGGAGTAAACAAGTTTTAAATAAGAAAAACTGTGCTGGAAATTGGATTTAGCCTGAGTAGTAGAGCCCATTTCTCCCTTGGTTTCCTTGCAGGGTGCGGTATATTTTGAATGTCACTCGAGAGATAGATAACTTCTTCCCAGGAGTCTTCGAGTATCATAACATTCGGGTATATGATGAAGAGGCAACGGATCTCCTGGCTTACTGGAACGACACTTACAAATTCATCTCTAAAGCAAAGTGAGTAATGGGTCCCAAACACATTCTTACCCTCCTTGTTCCTTGTGCACCACTCAGGACTAGAGCCTGAAAGCTGTAGATAACTTACTGAGGGTACTCAAAAAAAAGAAAGTAAAGGAAAAAAAAGAAGCCTTGGCTGGTGTGGCTCAGTTGGTTGGGCACCATCCCTCGCACCAAAAGGTGGTGGGTTTGATTCCCCATCAGGGCACATACCCAAGTTATAGATTCGATCCTTAGGGTGCGTAAGAGAGACAACCAATTGATGTTTCTCTCTCACGTTGATGTTTCTCACGTCGATGTTTCTCTCTCTCTCCCTTCCTCTCTCTAAAATCAATTTTTAAAAATTAAAAAAAAGAAGGCTGAGATTTCTTTTTTTTTAAATATATCTTTATTGATTTCAGAGAGGCAAAAGGAGAGGGAGAGATAGAAACATTAATGGTGAGAGAGTCACTGATCAGCCGACTCCTGCACACCCCCAACTGGGGATTGGGCCCGCAACCCAAGCATGTGCCCTGACTGGGAATCCAACCCCGATCGCCTGGATCCTAGGTCGACACTCAACCACTGAGCCACGCCCGGCTGGGCAAGGCTGAGATTTCTTAATCCTGGGGGAAAGATGACTAGTGACTTAATACTTTTCCTTTAAGTAGATGAAGCCCCTAGAAGAAGATAACCTCATGTTGGCCATTTCCATTGAGCACAAAATTAGAGTAAAACTTAAGCTGCAGCTAAAGAAATAGAAATGAGAAAGGGGAGAAATTCTGAATGAAATGCTTAAGTTGCCAATGGAGACATTTTAAAGTTATATAATAGACATTATTCCAAATAGATAGAATATTGGGTCCTCCTCTCTGTAAACAAGGAGATAAACATAGTGAACTTTGGAAACCTTTTCTCATTATTTTTTTTTACTTTACTTTTATGATATTCTAAATAGTGAGATTTTTCTCTGGCCTTTCTGTTGATGTCTTCCTTAAATTTAAAATTTTAATTGGTCCTTTTAATGAATCTACTTGATCATATTAATTTAGTGTTTAGTATTAATTAAGTCAACACTCATTTTTTTATATGTTTTATTGATTTTAGAGAGAGGGGAAGGAAGAGAGAGAGAGAAACATTAATCGGTTGCCTCCTTTACACGCCCCAGCTGGGGGTTGAAGCCACAACCTGGGTATGTATGTGCCCTGACTGGGAATCAGACTGGCAACTTTTTGGTGGATGGGATGACGCTCTAACCAACTGAGCCACACAGCTAGGGCTCAACACTCAGTTTTTTAAGTCCCTGGGGATTTCCTTGCCAATCCTATTTATGCCTTCAATAGAAGGAACCACAAAAGAGCATGTTGACCGCACTCCTCTTTCGGGTGGGACTACATTCAAGTCACTCCTGGCTGATGACAAGCACTTCTGTTTATAAGCCCTCCTTTAAGGATGATTCCTTACTTCTCTTAAGGACTTTCATGATGAGGAAATTCTTGCTTTTAGTTAACTGAATTCCCATACTCTAGGTTTGAGCTCATTCTCTCAGTCTCTTGCCAACACCTAAAAGAGCGCTTTATATTCTTGAAGAGCATTTTATATTCTTTTAAATTATTCCCAATAATAATGCCATTCATGGCATGCTTACTATATGCCAGGTACTTCGTGTGTATTCTCTCATGTAATATTTTCCAAAACCCAGAGAGGCATATCCTGTCATCCTTCTGTACTGATGCGAACAGACTATAGAGATAAGGTTCAGAGAGGTTAAGTAACAAGTACGTGAGGATAGGACTTAAACCTAAGATCATGTCTTATTTCAGAGTCCATCATATATATAGGAATAGTCTAGTCCCATAAGGAAAGGGTACTAGAAGAGACTAGGCAAGTTGTCAGGGTCACAGCTAAAGAAGCTAGAGTTCAAGGTGATACCAGGCTTAATCTGGACAATCTAACACTGGGCCTGGGGGGGGAGTTAAACCTGAAAGATGAAATTGGATTAGTTGAGAACTGACTTCAGATCCTTCATTGCATGAGTTAGAAGCCATCCACTGAAAAAGCCTAGTGCAATATGAAGAAATGCTTTCATGGGAGTGGATTTTATTATTATATTTTTCTTAAGATTGTCTAAGTTTGAACACCTTCCATGCCTGCAGGTATAGAAATTTTATGCATTAAAGTTGTCAGAGCTTGATGGGAATATACTTGAGCACATATCTGAACTTCCACCTGAGTCACTGCATTGGCTTCCCAACTGTAGTGTAGATGAAAACCTTACGGTGCCATAAAAAACACACAAGTGTTTCCTAGTCACTTGGGATAATCTAAGCACACAGACACCACACCAACCTTTGGACACCAAAATTTTGCATCTAATTGACAAAAGGTTAATCTTACCTTCCTTTTGAGACTGTTTCAATTATTTCAGACTACTCTCTGCATTCCTATAACTTATTTGGCCCACTCATTTTTGTACTTAAACTCATACCTCCTTGCATTGGTACTTAACTCTTGCATGTGTCTCCATCTCCAGCAGGAGGATTATAAGCTTCAAGAAGGAAGCTTCTCTACGATAATACAGTGAGTGAGTGAATGAATAGATTTCCCCTTTTAGGCTGACATGCATTTTTAAATTTATTGGAATAGCCACTTGGAAAGAATTCCAGCCCATGTACACTAGTGATAAGAGTAATCATTCTTTTGTCCAGATTTTAAAATATTGTTCCTACTTATAGCTGACAGATCTAATCAGCAGATCCATACGTTTGTTCACACATTTAGCAAATATCAGAAGGTTTATTCTGTTCCAGACACTGTGTTGTTAGGAGAATTAGCATAACCGAGTAATGCTCATATTCAAGGTAATAAACTCTGGCATGTTAAGACTGAGAGGTTTTGTTTGTTTTTTAGTATCACCTTATGGTAACTTTGTTTTCTTGTTCTTCTACCCCATCAAAAAAAAAAAAAAGAGTAGTTATTCATTCCACCCCCCTCATTGAAAAAGCCACGTGGTGCATCTCATGGTCCCATCCAGCTTCACGGGTTGTACAGCCAGCCAGCCCCTAGACAGAACACGGGTCGTGGTGTTGTGAAAAGTAATATCCAGGGCTACATCTGAGTACAGAGGAGGATTAGTTTCATTTGGTTTGTGCTCTTCTCCAGGGACAGAACCCTTACTGGAACTTGAACTGGAAGCAATTCAGAACATTTGGCTAAATTAGGTGAATGAATCACTGCCACACCTGTAACTCAAGAGTATGCCAGCCGTGAAACATGCCCCTGAGGCCATGAAGGGACTGGCCTCCAACCACACCCAAAATGGGGTCCGGTCTCTAAATTGAAAATTCTCCCCTGACACTCTGTGACCAACTGTCACTGCAGTTACCATTTTGAACTTTGTCTACTTCTCCCACTGAATCCTACCCTTTAGAGGAAAAAAACTGTTATCTTTGCTTTATAGTACCTTGTGCATTGTCTTACACATGGTAAATGTTTGCAAAATGAATTAAAGAGGCTTAATGTTAACACCGAATATTGTTTGAGTACAGCAGAACTGCCTACACTCCCTGCACAAGATGGGATGGATTGCATAGCAAGGAAATGGAAGCACAGGACAGGAGACTTGGAAACGTTTAGAATCCAGCTTTTAAAGTGTACTCACTATTGTATTTTCCTTCCTTACCTCATTCCCCCAAACTAGGAAACACGGATCTAAATGCCTTGTGCACTGCAAGATGGGGGTGAGTCGCTCGGCCTCCACTGTGATTGCCTATGCGATGAAGGAGTACGGCTGGAATCTGGACCGAGCCTATGACTATGTGAAGGAAAGACGAACAGTGACTAAACCCAACCCCAGCTTCATGAGACAACTGGAAGAGTACCAGGGGATCTTGCTGGCAAGGTGAGTCCTTAAGTGTGACTTTCTCAGATTTTCCATCATTTATGCTCACTAGGGCAAGGTGAGTTCTGCAGCTAGTTCTCAGCCTAACTTGGATGTGTCATGTTTGAAAATTGGTGTATCTATCCAATTTTTTAAAAAATAAGGATAAGCATTTGAGATTAGCATGGAAGATCAGGTATTTAATCAAAACTAACAGTATTTTTCACCCTTTAAATTAAAGGGTAGAAAATACTATTCCCTAATTTTAGTTATCAACTAGGTGTAGTTTTTTTTTTAATATATCTTTATTGATTTCAGAGAGAGGAAGGGAGAGGGGGAGAGAGAGATAGAAACATCAATGATGAGAGAGTCATTGATCAGCTGCCTCCTGCACGCGCCCCACCAATTGAGCCCGCAACCTGGGCATGTGCCCTGACCGGGAATTGAACCTTGATCTCCTGGATCCTAGGACAATTTTCAACCACTGAGCCACGCCGGCTGGGCTAGGTGTAGATTTTAATAAATACTTCTCAACATCTTTTTATTTCCTTTTTATTGAATTTATTGGGGGTGACACTGGTTAACAAAATTATGCACGTTTCAGTGCACAGTTCCACAACACATCATCTGTACACTGTGTTGTGTGTTCACCACCCTAAGTCACGTCTCTTCCATCACCATTTATCCCCCCATGTCCTCCTCCGCCTCCCACTTCTCAGCATCTTCTAATGCCAGATGTAGGTGTCTTATCAAAATGGATATTGATTGCTCCCAAGGTAATTCTAGGCATAGCTGAAATTCTTAGAAATGCTTTTGCCCATTTGTTTAAAAAAAAGAAAAGTACCTGCTGCTGCTTTTTTCCCCAGTGCTTGGTTTCACTGAGCCTGCTTCAGTAATTTTGGTCATGTGACAAAATCAGCAGAATTGGGATATATATAACCCATTTGAGGTAATGAAGGTGCATCCCAGAAATAGTTCTGTTGGGTTTGTTTTTTTTAATCCTCACCTGAGGATATGTTTTTCATTGATTCTAGAGAGAGAAGAAGGGGAGGGAGAGATTATTAATCATTGTATTATTTTCCATACAAATAACTGTCAGCCTGTGTATGCCCCACCCTATATGTGCTTTGTGAAAATGCAGAAAAATTACAAAGGGAAAAGTTATTTATAAACTCAGTACCCACAGAGAGCAATTGACATTATCTTACCTATTTCAACTGTAACAACATATACTGTGCACTTACACTGCACTTAACCATCACTGTGCCCTTTCCCCCCCAGCTTTATTGAGATATAACTGACATATAGTATTGTGTAAGTTTAGGGTGTACAATGTGTTGACGTCATACATTTATACATTGCAAACAGCTTACCACCATAGCATTAGCTAACATCTCCATCCCTGTACACATTTCTTTTTTGTGGTGAAAATATTTAAGATCTCTCTTAGCAACATTCAAGTATATACTACAGCATTAGCTGTAATCATCATGCTGTACATTAGATTCCCAGAACCTGGTAATCATATAACTGGAAGTTTGTACCCGTTGGCCAGTATCTCCCCATTTCTCCCAGTCCTCACTCCTGGTAGCCAGCACTCTGCTGCTGTTTCTCTGAGTTTTTTTAGATTCCACCAATAGGTGACACTGTGCAGTATTTGTCTTTCTCTGCCTACCTGGTACTAGGTCTTGTACATCTTCCTGTATCAATCAGAACTAGCTATTTCAGCAATAATTTGGTAATTGGTTATAAAATTCGTCAATTTCACTGCATTATTTATTACCCTTTTGGTGGTGAAAGCCACCTTCAGCTGCTCTGGGGAAAAAGATTCAGGTATTAAACTGGATTTATTGATCAGTTCCCTGAGATGCCACATGCTGAAGTTCTGTGGAGTGCTAGATTTTGCTTTGTTTTTTTCCATGTCGGCATGTTCTAGGTGCTTTTGTTAGGGTGAAGGCACAGCTGACTAGAAGCATTTGGAGCTGGCGCCAGAATTTGACTCCAGTGAGTCTCATGACTTGGTCTTTACTCTTGAATCTGGGCTGTGTTTCCCCTGAACAAAATATTAAATAGCCTTCCAGCCTATCCAGGCAGAGGGACCACCCTCCCACCCCTGAAGTATTGTGAAAATGTGGTCACAGCACAGCATTATGGTTTCCACTAAAAAACCCCTCCCATTTACTCAATACTTGGCATGATTTCATCTGAGCCGTTCTCTTAGGAGGCTGGGAGGATATGAAAATCTCCTCCACTTAAAAAGAATTTATAGGTCTTTGGGGCCAGATATTGATGACATTTTTAGATTAGATCAGAAGGTAGGACACAGCAGTTCTTTGTGGCACAGGAAAGAGGCATCTGAGGGTTGGATGAGACATAAATATTGTATATTCCCAGACACACATGACGGATGTTAGGCAGTGTCCTCACGTGACCCATTCAGAGGAAGGATACTCTGTGTCCTGCCAATTTCAGTATTTACTCTGGAATCACAGGCTACTGCAAGCTGTTGGGTTGGGATTTTTTAGTGTATGTGGTTTTCTTAGATGTTAAAGGAATTTCAGAAAAATCTTAAATGAGGATAAGAAGGGCAGGATAAACCCATGAATCACCTTGCCTCTTCCCTTTTGGTTCCCTGCCTTCCTGGGCTTGATTCATGGAGGGAGGGGCAGGCCCTGGGGAACGAGAAAACCATAGAATTTGACTCAGTAGATCTGGCTTTCATTCCTGGTTCATCCCCTTGCTGTACCTCTGAGAAGTTACTACATAATTCTGATCCTCACCTGACCCCATCTGTAAAATGAAAATCAACAGGCCTTCCTCACAGGGTTATTATAAATTAAATGTGTGTAAGTGTACATTATGTGCTGTTAAGGGTTATTCAGATGTGATTCTCGTCATTTCCTTCCTCCGGAAAACACATATATGCACGTGCCGTTTATTTCTCCCTCCTTGACATGGATATGTGCCATTTATTACCTCTTTCCTCCAAACCACTGCCTCCCACCACCCACAGACACACCAATCCATTAGGAACTGGAATGGGAAATGGTACTGGAATTTCCTGTATTGTGATGTCTCCTGGATTTTAAGAACTAGAATCCAGCGCTGGGGATATCACTTAGGCTGCTTTCCAGCTGCAAGTAACAGAGTACCTCCATTAATCGAGATCTCAACAAGAAACCACATGCTCAGATTAGGATTATTTGAGGAGGGCTTTATAAAGGGACTGTATGCAAAGATGTGGGGCTGAAGTGGAATCAAGGGACTTGTATCAGCAGAGCTGTTCAGTAATAGCTCCAGGGTCCAAAGAGGAAGGGGGCAGTTACTAGAACCTAAAGGGAGACTTCTACAGAGAAAGGCACCTTCAGAGAAGAGCACTAACCTTCAATTAAGGACATAGTCAACCTGGAATAACCCTGCAGAAGGGAACTAGGGAAATAAATGGTCTGCCTTCACTCTCCTCCCTCCAGTCTCCTGCCGAGGCTGCCCATTAGCCCAACCCTGTGGAAGTCAAAAGGGAAGGGGGCCTATTGATGTGGCCCATAGATCATCCTCAGGGGCAGAGAGCAGGGTGAGAAAGCTGAAGAGTGGATCTGCAGGGGCAAACAGAAGATATCTGGCCCAATACCCAGCTATAGGTAGTTTAAAAAGCTGGGCCATTTAACATCACTTGTAACAAGAAGCACAGAAGTAGACTAATGGCTCAGTGATGTAATAAGGCTTTGGTACTGTTCATCTTTCTGCTCTGCCTTCCTTGGTTAATGGCTTGGTCCTAGAACTTGTCTTCTCATGATTGCCAGATGTCTACCACGTTTCTAGGCACCTACATGTAAAATCCACAGCATCTGGCTGAATGAATGGGTATTTCAATTAAAACTAATCACTGGCCGGAAAAATAGAATTTCCTGGGCTCGCTATAACAAATTCACATTCACCCTCTGGTGCTAGGGAAGTGCTGCATTCCCTGAACCCATGGGACATTGAATACCCCAACTAAATCAGGCTTCTACCAGTGAGGGAAAGAAGTGGGAGTGCCTGCTGGATGAGCAACCATTAGGGTCTGCAGTCTATGATGTGTTGTCTAGAAATGGCACTTGCAGGCTACCTGCCAAGCTACCTGCCAAGTGAATTGGGCCTGGCAGGCTCTTGCCCAACCCTAGAGCGCTGCTCCAGGAACTGCCTGCTTAGAAGAGCAAAGAAGAAGCCCCAGACTCCTGTGATTGTGTGAAGCTCTGTCTAACTTTGCAGCTTAGATAACCAGGAGAGGACAGTCCTTAGAAAAATCCCACTCATTTTGTTTGCAGAGAAATTCCATTTTCTACCCAGGTACTTAGGTCCTGTGTTTCATATCTTCTCCAGGAAGCAAGTGGTGGTTTTCCCAAAGAGACAGAGCCTTGACTCTAGCATTCTCTAGCCCCATGGTTGTACAGGGTGGCACTGGGTACTTAATTTGAGGTGGCAGACTCTTAGCTTGGTACTTTTATCTCTTGGTAGAAGAAAAGTTTAGCAAAGTGACACCAGGTCCATGAAGAGATTTATGAATTGGTTGCAATCTCTTAATCAGAACGTGAGGCTGTGGGCCAAACAGTAATAGCCCCTCTGAAATACAAGGAATTTTTTGCATGTTTCAGTGTGCCTTTAAGAGTCTGGGGAAGCCCGGCCAGTGTGGCTTAATGGTTGAGGGTTGACCCATGAACCTTGCTGTCACGGTTCAATTCCCATTCAGGGCACAAGCCCAGGTTTGGGGCTTAATCCCCAGTAGGGGGCATGCAGGAGACAGCCGATCAATGATTCTCTTTCATCATTGATGTTTCCATCTCTCCCTCTCCCTTTCTCTCTCTGAAATCAATAAAAACTTTTTTTTTAAAGAGTCTGGGGAAGACTAATATTAAATATTCTCCCTTAGACCTAAAAGCCAGGTGGGAGTTATCATAAAGCCACTGATATTGTTCATATCTAATTTTATTTTATTATAGCTGGGGGATGGGAGTGAGGCAGGAGGAGGAGTGTGCGTGTGTGTATGTGTGTGTGGAAAACCTCCATTAAATAGCCAGCAGCCCTGTTTGTTATTCTGCACTCTGATCATGCAGGTATCTGGCAGATTTATTTTCCATTAGACAAGTTCGGATTTCAGGCTTTTGCAAGCTGACCATGTGTCTGTGATATTAGGTTCCAGTGTATAAGGCAAGGAAGAAAAACTGGGTGGTGGCCAGGGAGAGTTTGTGCCACATGACCTCATAGATGTCAGTTTTGATTCTTTGAACACCGTTGTCGCCAGGGCCAGAGGAGGCAGAGTTGTTTTTTACCCTAGCTTTGCTAGTGGAGACACTGTTAGTGCACAATGGTGAGCCAGCAGGAGGGAACCCGAGAATGAGAGGACTTGGTCCTGGTCAGGTGACAGCCAATCACGATCAATGTTTAAAGGATTTTCTTAATAGCTTTTCAGAAAAATAATCTTAAAACACGGCACACAGAAAATGCTTAATTGAAGTTTGTTCTCTTTCTTCTTCTTCTTTCTGCAGGCTGCCTAATGCCCTAAGAAGTAACCATAAACAGTCTGATTTTACTATAACTGATATTCCATTTTTATCAATATTTTCCTCTATATAACTTTGTCAAATAGAAGTAGTGCTTTACCAAACATACAATAGGGAGAGAGAGAGAGAGAGAG